GACGAGCAGAGATGGGAGGTGACCCACAGTCACAAAGCTAGAAGCAGGGAAGGAAGTGGGCCAGCATGTGGCCTTCTGCATCTAAACGTCCACACAAGCAACAATTAAACATTTTAATGGGGAAGAGTGTATAGCTCAGCGGTAGAGTGCCTGCTTGGCATGCAAGGTCCTGGGTTCAATCCCCAGGACCTCCATTAAAATAAGCAAGTAAATAAATAAACTAATTACCTCCCCTCCAAAACAAAAACAAAAACAAAAAATGAATAAATAAATTAAAGATTTTTAAAAAACATTTTAAGACTTTTATACTGGGTTAAATTTCGTTTCCTAAAATAATGTAACAGATTTTTGTCACTGATTTGATTAACACACGCAAGTAAGAGTAGTTACACTGAAATGATTATTCCCTGGGTTGTGTACGGACCCGGGGGCTTACTGGCGTGCATGTTTCTAGTGATGACATTGAGTTGGTGAGAATAACCATCACAGTCAGTAACAAAAAGGAACGTCCCATTTATTCTAAGTCTAATCAACCAGACACCTCAACCAGCCTGAACTTTCTGGAAGATTGTCTATTCCACCCCCTTAGATGGTGATGCACCGTGTGTTGAACTTGCAGTGAGAAGATGCAGGTTCAAATGCCAAGCCTGCCCCTCAGGAGACGTTTAACCTTCAGCAAAAAAATGTGTTTAATTCTCTGCACTTTAGTTTTCTCGCCTCACCTCTGAATGTCTGTTCCTTATAAGATGGTTGTGAAAATTCAACAGAATTATGTAAATTAAAGTACTTAGAAAATAGTGGGCCCAGTACTGTCTTTCAAAGAAACCATGCAAAACAGAACACGTCCCAAAATTAATTTAGCCCAGTACCAACACCTGCGTTGTCTAAAGTGACCACCACGTTCGTCCTAACCCAAATGGCCACGTGGATGGGCAGGTCCTGCATGGTCTTCCACTGTCGTGAGGAAGCTGTTCCCCACGACTGCTGCCAGAACCCCCAAGAGAGCCTGGAACTCAGGGCCTGGGCAAGTGGCCCCATGGGTGACGGACTGGCATGAAATAGGATGGAAACGGAAGGGCCTGGCTTTATAGGCTGTCTTTGCACCCGAAGTCCTAGCATCATAGAACCTTACTAAGCTGATTCCAATTGAAAAAAATTAAACCACTCACATGTTGAAATCCTAAGCCCCCAGCAGCTCCAAGTGTGGTGACTACATCAAGGGGGTAATTAAATTAAAATGAGGCCCTCGTCCAGTATGACTGGTGTCCTTATAAGAAGAAGACAGAAGCCTCAGAAGAAACCAGCCCTGCTGGCACCCTGACCCTGGACCTCTAGCCTCCAGAACTGGGAGGAAACGCATGTCTGCTGTCTGAGGCACCCAGTCTGTGGTACTGCGTTACGGCACCCCAGTAAACTAACGCCAATCGCTGAAGTTTAAAAAAAAAAAACTCATTTTATAGAACATCTGATACGCCTTCCTCCTTCCTCCCATATGCCCAAACCCCACAGCCTTTTCGGGACCCAACACAACTGTTAGCTCCTCTGTAGAAGCCTAAGTTCAGAGCATCGACCTGCCTCCCACACTACACCCACAGGGGAGGCAGCCAGTCTGGGTCCCACTGAAGCCTGGAGCAGCAGGCCCCCCACAGTGCCGGGGTGGGGAGACTGTTAGCAGGGAAATGAGGGTACATGACGACCTCCTTCACACAGGGTGAGTCCTCGAGCCCAGAGAGGGAAGACCCTCCTTCAGATCACGGAGCTGTGGGGTCTGTTCAAGAATGCATGAGCTGGGGGGTGGGTACGGGGTACAGCTCCGTGGTAGAGTGCATGCCTAGCAGGCATGAGGTCCTGGGTTCAATCCCCCGTATCGTCATTAAAAAAATAATAATAATAAATAAACCTGATTACCCTCCCAACCAAGAAAAAAAATAAACAACATATGAGCCATTCCCACTGCTGTTCAGACCCTTGTCAAACTCCACGTACTCAAAGTTGAATCTATTTATGATTCATGTTCCACACTCGCCCACTAGTGTGTCTTAAAGTTCCCTTCCTACAGGTGGATTTGATGACACCTCACAGCACACAGGACACAATGGCCCCTTGACAATGATAAATTAGGGATGACTTTTTTATTTCTTCCTTTATCCATATAATTAAAGGTACTTTTCCAATCACTGAAAACCTTGTATGGTTCATTTGCTTAGGACATCCCATTTTAAATTTTAAGGACAGTAACTCGAAACTTTGCTTAATTTGCTAAATGACCATGATTTCACTATCAGACAGGCTTTAGACTAAAATTTTCCAGCTAACTCACCAGAGCACTAATCATTCCACTCCTCCGCAGGAGAAATTAGCTAGACCGCACAAACACTTCTCAGTCAAGCCCTAACTGTCAAGTGGCACGGTGTCTTTAAGAATTAGTTGCAGAAGAGGGGGAGGGCATAGCTCAGTGGTAACAGCACGGGCTTAGCACGCACGCACGAGGTCCTGGGTTCAATCCCTCCCCAGTGCCTCCACTAAAATAAGTAAGTAAATAAATAAACCTAATTACCTCCCCCCAAACAAACAAACAAAACAACAACAACAAGGAATTAGCTGCAGCAGCAGCAAAAGAGAAGTCGTAGGTTGCCGCAGGCTTGGAGCCCTGTCCCACTGGGAGGCTGCCATTACCATTCCAAACAGCAGAGCCAGGGTCTCGAAATCAATCCACTCCACCACGTGGGTCAGGCCAGGCCTCTGCAATCAAAGCACAAACTCGCCAGTTAGTCCCGGACATCAGCCTCCCGGTGATAAGCTTCAGACACGCACAGCCTTTTACATCAAACCCACTCGTTGGGCCAGAGTCAAAAATCACACCATCCACTTGCTTTTGAAGTCAGATTATGTCATCAATGAAAAATACTCATAATGAAAACATTATAATGTCAAACCTATGCACTTAGTACTAAGAAAAGCAGATTTCTTAAACCTGGCCCCTGTCCCTGCAGGGAAGGCCGGGTCATGGGGAACTGGGAAGCACAGACTTCCATGAAGCGAGGGCACCTGGAGAGCCCGGTTGTTGGAAAAGGACTGCGTGATGGTCCAGGTAGCCTCCCGCAGCACGTGCCACGAGCCACGTCAATGATTTCTAAAATTAAGTAACTACCACTACACTATTTCTTAATAATTATTAAAAATAACAGTGATTTATGTCTCAATGTTAGGATTCTGGGACATTTTACCCTTAAGGTTAGTGTTTGTTTATACCAACTCTGACCAAGAAAAAAAAACTATAACTAATTAACCGAACATAGCCCCACACAGATTTTTAAACCAGCTAGTATTCTTTGGTTGACTGCACAGCCTTTAGTAGCAGTTTTCAGAACAATCCGTGGACTCCCACAGAGTTGTTTTCACTCCAGGTTCTGTGTGTTGCCACGTGGTCCGTCCCAGCATTCCTACTCAAGCAGCTCTGGCCTCCAACCTCGGCGGGCACTCGGCCTCTCCTGCCTCCCCATGTCCATCCTTATGTCCCCGCTGGACAGACACGCTCAGAGCCTGAGGGGGTGCCATCACCGCCCACACATGCACCTCCAGGGATGCCCTGATTTCTGCCTGGGACAGAACCGTCCCCCCACCACCGCCTCACTATCTCCCACTGCTCTGCTCCAGCCAGGATGGCCTCCTCCAGGTACCAAGGGCTGACAGCATGCAGGGCCAGCTCTAATGTGGCTCAGCTACACGGCCTGGGCAAACGCGTGACCACCATGAGACTTTCCTCAGCGAGGATGAAGGATAACGCCGCTGGGATGCGTGAGAAAGTCAATGTTAATTACTTGTCTGTGCTGTGAAGTCTGTCCATGCCTCTAGCACAGTTCCCAGGGGAAACGTGAAAACAGTACATGAAAATTAAAAGCACCAGCTAACGCCTAATTCTTGGACTGTCTTTGAATCTGGCGCTCTATTGAGGGCTAAGCCTTCGACTCAAAGCATCAAAACTTACGTCACCAATCACAGCCAGGGCTGCTAACGCCGCAAGGGAACCCAACATAGCTGCCAGGGTTCTGTGAACGATCTGGAAAGAAACACAGAAAATTACTGCATTCTAATCCACAGGGGTTCAAAACACACAGAAGCCGGTTTTGGTATAAGTATCTTTCAAGACTGGCCATCCTATACCATCTCTACTGGGACAATAAACAAATCATGGGTTTGTCTGTTTTACAGTGTGGATGCCCTAGAGACAGACATAACCACCACCAGTCTGCCTTCTAAAGAAAGCTGCTTTCTAGATAAAAAAAATGAATTTCTTCTGTATAGCACCAGGAACTATACTCAGTATCTTGTAATAACCTTTAATGAAAAAGAGTATGAAAATGAATATATACACACACACACTCATATATATATGTACACACACAGGTATGCATGACTGGGACATTATGCTGTACCCCAGAAACTGACACATTGTAACTGACTATACTTCTACTAAAAAAAAAATGAAAAAATAAAAAATAAAGGAAGATGCTTTCATTTCCTGCATAATCAGATGACCATGAAGTAGAAGCAGAAGGCTGGATAAAGTATGTTCTATATGGAAGCCTGCAGTAAATTCTCATTAATTATCTATCATTTAATTTCTAGGCAACTGGACCATTAGTTCCACAACATAAATCAATTCTGCCCAATTACTGAGACTGTTATTAAACCAGAAGTATCTAGCCAAATGCTTAATCTAATTGAGACTTCAGTGTTATCACTGAACCACAAAAGTACTTTTTCTATTTAATTATAATTCAAATGGACATGGAATTTCTAAGACAAAATATAAAGAAAGGCAAGGATGCAGAGGAATTGGAACACTCAAACGTTGCTGGTGGGAATGTAAAATGGTGCAGCCATTGTGAAAAAGTTTGGCAGTTTCTTACAAAGTGAAATAATAAATTTACCATACGACCAGCAAATTCTACTCCTAGGAACCTACCCAAGAGAAAGAAAAGCACATGTCCTATTAAAATAAACAAGAGATACTGAGGTGGCTCTAATCTAAGCAGCTCTTTTGTTCCTTTTCTGTCCGTTCATCTCTGTTTCCCTCAAGCCTTGATCATAAAAATGAAATCACTACGTAACATTTAACCTAACTCCTGATTTTTGCTTTACTGAATGTACACAATGCCTTGCCTAAGCTGTCGATTCCTTTCCTGGATTACAAGTAGTAAGAATGAAGAATTAACTAGTTAAAGAATGACGGCTTTCTACCCCTACCTTCCCCTTAATAAATTTACAGGCAGACCCCATGGGCAAGAGAGTATCTAACTGCAAGTGGACCATGCAGGCAAGACAGCATCCAGAGAAAGACCAGAAGTCAGCAGGTCTGCACACGGTGGGAAAATGACAAAGAATCTGATCTCTAACCTTAATGATGAACTAGAATTATATTCCCTTTTCCCTTTAAAAATTGTCATGGCTGAGCAGGATCTTTGGAGGTGGTCTCAAGACATGAGTCCACCTTCTCCCCAGATTGCCAGCTTTTCTGAATAAAGCAACTTTTCCTTCTACCAACACTTGCCTCTCAATTATTGGCTTCTGAGTGGTGAACCACTGAACCTGAGTTCAGTAACACTAATGCTTTAGCAGCCTATGTAAGAAAACAAAAAGCTACGCCTATAATACCTCAAAGATAAGAAATCAAACCCTAAGGACAGGTGATTATAAACAGCTAACAAGCCTTTCCCAAACAAGGCAAATGCTTACGCTATAGCTACTCAGATCATTTCCCTGCTTTGCTTCTGGCTTTTCTCTATAAAACTTTCTCCCAGCTCCTGTTGGTGGAGTCTCCTAACCGCTTCTGGTTTGGTGTGGCCCAATTTGAATCAATTTTTGCACAAATAAACTCTTAAAAAATTTAATATACCTCAGTTTCTCTTTTAATAGTCCATATAAAGCATGTATGTTCATAGAAACATTCAAAATAGGCAAAAAAAAGGAAACATTCCAAATGTCACCCATGATGAGTTGATAAAACAAAATGCAGTACATGCTGCAACATGCAACTACTGATAGATGTTGTGTAATGGATGGACCCAAAACACATCAGGCTAAGTGAAAGAAGTCAGACACAGAAGACTGTATATTGTAACATCCCACCTATATGAACTGTCCAGAAAAGGTAATTTACAGAGACAAAAAGATCAGGGTTGCCAAAGGCTGGAGACAGCAAAAAGGACTGACGGCAAAGAGGCCCTAGGGAACTTGATGGGGGGATGGAAGATCCAAAACTGTACTGTGGTGATGACTGCTGCTATGGTATATGTTAGGGCAGGCAGACAGCTAGATACAAGCAGAGAAAGGGGATGCAGGCCAAATGGCAGGAACTGGGCAAAAAAAGAGGGGCACGGACCAAATGCAAAAATCCCTACATCATGTAAGCACCAAGGGCTCCCTGGGCAGAGAAAGAAAAGCAGGAACCTCTGGACTGATAAGAAATTACACATTTTGGGGTGACAAGTGGCCTGCAGGGAAAAGGCAAGAGTCTCTAGTGTCCGAATGCAAGCTTTTGCTCATTATGCCCTCATTTCAGTAAAATTAGCCTTGCAGACTAGAAGTACCCATCATGCACCAAGGCCATGACACTTCCAATCCACGCTAAATAAGGACAAAAATTCCTCTTCCCTTTGGGAAGGTGGAGCTGGGGTGAAAATCAGGGAATAGGATCCCAAACCCTTCCCTCCCCAATGAATATTCTGCTCATTCATTTTCACACCTTATTTAACCAACTTGCCAAAGAAACTCAGGCCAGCTGCTCACCTGAGTCTGCCCGCTCTCCCCTTGAGAGTGTACTAACTACCCCTTAACAAATCCTCACTTTAATTTCTTAACCTCCGCATCCTGGCTCTGAATTCTTTCTGGGATGGGACAAGAACCTGGACACTAGTTCCATCTCCCAGCAACAGCACCATCCCTCCCTGTGGGGATCTGGCTGCCCTCCACTTTCAGCTGGTCGCACAGCACCTGCAGAGCCACCGCACGGGCGGTGGGCAGGCCTCTGTGAGACCCAGGCTGCCTCACACGTGCTGCCACAGAGGCAAGAAGAAGGGGGGCGCTCTGCTCACATCCCTACATCCAGGGCATGGGGAACAACCACGCCTGACCTCATAGGGTGAAGGAATAGGAAACAAACTGCCTTCCCTGATGCTGATTCTTTCTGACTAAGAAATGCTGTAATTTGCTTTCTCTCCCTTACTGTTTTTTATGCTAAACAACTCCCAAACATTCAATAGCTTTAACCAGAAAGGAGACAATGGGCTGATAATCTCAGAAGAAGGACAGACCCTCCGAAACTCCTCCATGAAGGAAGATCCACTGGGGTTAAGAGGAGTGCACCGCCCTGTAAACTGCCCTGATCGTTACTACTTTTTGGTTCCATCCAGTTTTTCTATAAAACCTCAAGGCTCCAACCCCAAGATGGACTCAGTCTCTAAGGCAAGAGCCCGCTGTCACTCCCCTTTGCCTGGCAAAGCAATAAAGCTGTTTGTCCTTTTTCTCCCAACACTCTATCTCTGAGTCTCAATCTGGCTTTCGGGGTGTAGAGGCCAGTTTTGCAGCAACAAGGGGAGGGCAGGCAGTCCACCAAGAACCAAAGGACCAGGCTGCATTCACAAGGAAGGCAGAGGGACAAAGGCCCACCACCTGCAAAGGGGCCAGAACATCCTCTTCCTAGGAGACAAGGGAGGGTAGAAGCAGGACCGACCTGGCAGGCAGTGCAGGAAGTAGAGCCCGATTACTAACCTGTGGTCCAACAGGACCCAGTGCAGGAAAACAGGAGCTGGCCCAGGTCCCACAGCTGGACATGGCGGGCCAGGGTGGCACCTCCAGGGACAGCCAGTCCATGCCCCGCCCACACCGCCCTGTTTGTCTCTCACAACAAACTGAAGAGCTCTCTAAGTTTTGCAGACGAAGAAAGTGAAATGCAGAGAAGTACTGAGATTTACTTAGCATCACAAAGCCCACGTTCACCCCACAACGTCACGGCAGTGAGAAGTGACTGGTACACGGCTTTCAACTGGATGCAGCCTGGGGGTGCCGAAATGCCTATGATACACAGGGCC